ACTTGGCATGATTAGACCGAAACTGAGAGCAGCAAGGAGCCCAGGGAAACAGCTCTGTGGGACACTGGACAGCTTCAGCTCGCCCTGGAAAACAGAATTAAACCTCAGTTCCCATATTCCACCTTTTAAGACAGCCCTTTATGACCAGGACTCAGGAAACCACATTGCACCGCCGCTTTTCCTGGCACCAGAGTCTGCGTCTGATGCTAGAGCTGGACCTGGAAACTGAAGTGATTTATTGCCCCCCCAGACTTACAGAGCAGCCATCATTCACCATAACATGTCATCCTAACAAGCTGCAAGGCAGAGATACTTCACGTCTGAACCAACTGGTGGATGCCAGTGAATAACATCTAGGTAACCAGAACACCCTTCATCATGAACCTGATACATTTAGCAGCTAATTAAAACTGTGTAGGGATTAGGCTTTACATTGTATGGTTTTATGGTAAGAAAACCTGAGCTTCCTAAGACGATGTTGGCCAGCTCCTTATCTCTGATGCCGAGATGTTTATCAGCACCACATGTTACGAGCTCCCGCTATGTTTCCCAACGACCTTCTGGGACTTAATCAGCCCGAATGTCAGGGGTTGAGGAGCTGAGGACATATATTATGACACAGAATGCAACGCTCAGCCAGGCGGAATGAAAATCCAGGGCTGAAGTCCAAAGAAAAGGTCTGTGTTGGTTAACTTCTGTCCCCAATAAATTTGTCAATTAGGAAGAACAAACGTTAACTTTGTTTTCCTTGCCCTTGCTGTTGCTTTGTGAGGTCCCACACCGCGAGGCAATGCAGGGTGTGTACTCAAGTATCAGTGATGAGGGGAAATCTTGGATGATTCACAGTTCGGGAATGTTTCACATAAAAATAGCAAATTCCAGCTTTATATCTTGGAGTCTATCCACGCTACCCAACTATGTTTTCCAGCCTTAGAACCATCAAAAAGAGATGCAATTAGCAGGAAATTTTTGTCCCCAGTTTCAACAGGTCTGTGACTGTAGTCTTTTGTAGTCACACGCTGCTTTTGGAATTTACAAGCACTCCGTCCCAAAGGTCCCCAAAGTGCCTGGGGACAATCACATCAGAAGAAGACTTGGAGGATCATCAGAACGCTTTCTATACTTGTGTGAAATACATTCGCTTGTGGTTGGAGATGCGTTAATAAGACAATCCTAGGCAAGGACTGGATTTGCCAGGACATTTCCATGCAAAGAATGTGATGGTACATTTCACAGTATCTTTTGCGGGGAGAAGGACCTAGCTGCCATGCTTCAGTGCCCCTGCATTCTTCAGATGGGCTGCATTTACACTGGTAAGAGCTGACACGAGCCATCTTCAAGCCCTGAAACTGCCTGTTTCAGGCATGGCTCTGCTTGATTTCCCACATCCAAACCCACCAGCAATTACAGTTCGTGCTGGCAGTTCTTCCAAACAAAAGGAGTCAACTCCATCACTGCTTCTCCCCACTCCCACCCAGCTGCTCACAGTGATATGTTTGGATCCCCAGTCTGAAGAGTGTCCCTTCTGTTTGCAGCTCACTGGGCTCAGATCCAGGCTGGAATCTCCCATGCATTTAGCAGATAAGGATGCTGATCTAAATGCTGACACTTCGCTGCACGGCTGCAGACTGGAGATAAAGCCTGGACTGGTTAGTGAGGCATTTGCAAATCTGTGCACTATATGTCTGTCATTTCATTGAAAATACCCTTTTTGGAAATTAAAACGTCTACCAAGACAGATGTGGCCTGACTGGGGTTTAGCTGAATGTGCTGCATTCAGTATGCAACAAAAAGTCCAGGTGTTTTAAAGGATGTAGGGGGCCACAGTCTAAGAAAAGAATTGTGTTACTGGATGCCAAGTATATGAACACATTTATAGAAGGTTTGCTTGCTCCTGAAACTGAATATATGTTTTTTTTGGTTTGTGGGTTTTTTTTTTTAAAGAAGCTAATTTCCTTTCCTAAAGCAGGTGTGTGCTAGTTGCCTCATTTTCCAGGCATATTTAAAATGATTTGGACCCACAGGACATTTTCATTGCCTGACAAGTATTAAAAGTGAGAACTCATTAGCTGAAATGGCTACATTGCAACTTTATCTGTCTGCATTATGGTGGACGACTGTTTTAGAGGTACTACAAACACACAGGGAAGCATCTGGCTACGTGTATGTGGCACGTATCATGTGTTACACCAAGCTGGAGAGGAAATAAAACTACAAAATGAGATGTCCGAATGGAACATCTCAAACCTTGGGGAGCTCTAGATCTAAGGCAAATGGACATCAATGACAGATCTCCATCTCCACCTCTCTGTCAGGACTCTCCAACATGTGGCTCCGCAGTGCCAGTATTTTACATCCATCGCATATTAATACATAGAAGAACACTTTTATTAATGATATTGAATAATATTGGGGAGGGAGGATGTTAAAGAATCTAGTGTTGTCTGTTGAGCATTCTCTACGAGCTATACTCTTCCCTGGGAAGCAAGATGAATGTCAAATGCATACATGAAAATACAAGCCCTTCCTGGAAGCCCTTACAGCAGATCTAGGAAGCCTCTCCTTTATTTTTCTACCTGCTTTCCTGCCTGTAAAATGCTTTAGATTCAGAGATAGGAATGGAGAAGCATTTGAAGCTTGACATCCCACAGCCTTGTAGGTGGGGCATGCACGTAGTGTGGAGAAGGTATTAGTGCCATATTGAGCCTGAGAAGAGTTTAGCAGTGAGGTCTCTCTCTTCCTAGACAAGTGCTCTCACTATGTAGTAGCCAACGCAAGTCTCATTTCAAATTCCAACAAGGAGGAGTTGAATGAAAGTCTGCAGTCTGTGGTTTAACTTCCATTGCACTTTTTTTAGCATAAGCTGTTACGATTCTTTGAGTCCTGATAGCCCAACAGTGGCCAGCCTTGCACTGAGAACGAAGGCCTACACAGCGCAGAAGAGAAAGTCAAGAAGCGGACAGCAGAGTGAAAAGGTGTGAGTTTTAAATACAGATTTACAACAAAGGAAGACGTTGCTACACAAGAGCAGGGACAGCATTTCAACTCTAAGAAGTGAGATGGAAGAAACACAAGTGGGAAAAGATGAACAAGGCTTTCAGGGAAACTGTTACTCCCCAGGCAAAAGCTCAAGATCAACCATTCCCTAACTGAACGCAATAAACTCTGTCAGAGGAGACTCGGTCTGTACAAGCAGTCTACTCCTCTGACCATTTCTTCATGGCCAACATTTCATTTATGGCCAACTGCTGAAAGTCACTGCAGTTTCTTTACTATTGGTACCCACAGGAATGTTCATGGACATCTGAACAAATGTTCATTTATACAAGAGTATGAAGAAGTAGATTAATTAAATGGCACTTGAAATAAGTAGCACTTGATAAATTTCCCTGTCAATAGAAAGCATATAAGAGAATACATGCAAGAAAAGCAAACAGATCTGCTCATAGCTCCCACCTCTAAATTTCCAGTCCTTTTTAATAAAGTGAAAAGTTTTAGCTATTAAAAATGTTGTGACCCTTGTAATGCTACAGAACACCGATACAAAATGTGAATAGTACAATATCCATCATATAATATATATATTTATATTTTAATATATTACATTTATTTCTACATAAAGAGGCTATAAATACTGTATATGCCTTATATTCATGGTTCCCAGCATTTGACATTATAGTAAGTACAAACCAAAAAAATAATTATAAAAATACAAAAAAAGAACTCAGTAGAAATAGCTCTACATTTTAAAATCTTGTAGCCTGCATTGTGTCTGTCAGTGGAGCTCTGGGACTACAAGAGCACAGGTAAGAAGTTGTCCATCAACTAGGCACAATCCCACTACTCGGAGAAGATCAGAGCTGCCGTGAAACCAGTCGCGGATTCCCAAGACTACACAAACTGAGATCTCTGCCGTCGCAACCAGACTTTGAGTTTGCGAAGGGAAAGACTCAGACCCACATCTGAGGGAAGGGGGACGAGAGGAGAAGGCAGGGTGCCCTTTGGATGCCTCCGGGCTCCCTGCGGTCCCAAGGTAGATTACACTGCCCTTTCTACCTGTTGTAAAGGCTGCTGCAGCGGTGATTCAGAGGGGGGTTATTTTCTGCAGCCGTTTCAGGCTAGCTCGGAAGCAGGTAGGCACCTGGCGTGGGTCAAGGGTGCTGGGGAGGACGGGAGCAGACCCACCCCCAGAGGTGAGGCATGCCCCTGGCACCCATGTCCCATCACTTGGCTCAGTGGTCTGGCTGCTCCCTGCTAACCAACCTCACCGCCCAAGTCTTGCAAGCAAACGCAGCTCATGACCTCTGGTACAGCAACATTTTTCCTCTGCCAAGGACAGAGACCATCGCCCCTACCTATATTTAGCCCAGCCTATGTTTGGTCTCAAGCCGTCGGTGAGCGCCAGAACCTTGAGCTGGAGGTTCCTTTTGTTGTTTGTGGAGTTGTGAGCAAGGGATAACTCTGAGAAACAAGAAGCCAGTGCCGTGCTGTTTCCTTCCTGGAGTCCAGCCATGAGGGGAAAAACAAACAACAACAACAAAAAAAAGAGCAGGGCTGTGCCGTTATTTCGTACAAGTAGGAACAGTTCAGTTGAACGCCGTGCCACTGCGTGCATCGGGCAGACGCTCGGCATGTCCCCGGGGTCCCAAAGGCCACCACGCTGCCTCTGCCATCGGTCCAGCACAGCCCACGTGCCGCAGCCGGGACTCTGCATCCTCAGCG